AGCTTGTCAAGAGGCACGTGCACCGCTTTCGGATATCGTCTGAATTCAGCCCTCCCGACGGCTAATTTGGGCTTTCCAGTCTAGAGTGCCAAAGCGACTTTCAGAAGAGCAGTCCCGTTTACCAGATGATGGTGCTTTTATTTCAACCAGCATTCCTCTTGAGGCTAAGTCAGCCGGATTCAGTTTGAAATTGAAGTGACCCTATTGCCCTAAATGTGTGAATTCGCGTACGATGGAGACCCGATTCAAAACGGACGCAAAGAATTTTGTTAATGTATCATGTGCATAAGAAAACACGATCGTGGACTCAGTAAATCTACGGAACGGAGGATTCGATAGAGCCTGCGTATCCGTCTTATTTGCCCGACGGGGACAAGTTCCAGTACGGGGATAGTGAATGCATTTGTAGGCGCGACGATTTTCAGGCCCAGAGCCTAGAAACTAAACCATAAATAAAGTATACGCGGGCTTCCACCCCAAAGGCTGGTTCGGAGTACTCAATTTCGGTCTCCCGTCGAATGCCGAGTATTTTNTGTACTTGACTCTCAAGAAGATATTCCCCAGCCGTGCGCTGAACCGACCCGAGAGCGGTTCGCATCTTTAGTTAACTGCTCTGAGAGGCCAAGTATATGCAATATTTGATCGAGGATACAATCGTATTGCAGAGGGATGATAAGCGCGTGGTTGAGTAGAAAGATAGAAATTGTGTACACTCATGATGGATTATGATGTGAACCGGCAACTATCGTCCTACGACATGACGTGGCGAAAAACACAAAACTGTTGTTGAACACGCGTGGCAGTGCGCAGCGAGACAGCAAGGCCGTGCACCACTGGGCACAAACCTGGTTTGCGACTAAAAAAAGGCTATCCTTATCACGCTGTTACCCGACAGGTGGCATCTGGTCATGCAACGGAAGAAAAAGCCGGTTGATACTGGATATGTCATTGTTAACCGTAAACACCCCCCCCCTGGTTAGACAAGCTGGGGGCAAGTGAGATGAAACAGAAGAACCAAAGAATAATAACGGCATGCCGATTCGGTTTTGCTAAAAACAACTCAGATGCGGGTCCTCTGAGGAGAGGCAAACGAAATTCTCACCCATTTTCTATCATTAGACATCAGCGTTTAAAATACAAATGAAAATATCCAACAGACGTCCGGGTTATGCATGCACCAAACCCTTCAAACTAAGCGCAATGCTCCCCCCCCCCTTACGGATCCGACAACGATCAATTTTGATTCACATCACAAACAAATCACAGCTTGCACGGGAAAAAATGTATGTATTCTCAAATGATGTTCTTCCGTGTACAATAATGAAAATAAACTACGAAAAATCAAAATATAACAAATTGTGATAAACCGGGAATAAGGACTTCACAAGTCGGATGGAGAAATCCCAATCTGTCCGGTGATTGCCGCGTTCATGAGAAACTCCTAAAAACAAAAGAGAACGGGGGTGGAAGGTGAAAGAGCGATGAGCAAAAAAGGGATGAGGTATTTGGATTCAATCATCTTTGTCGTAAAAAATTCGCTGCAAATGAATACATAAAAATGGTTATAATATTATTGAAAAATAAAATTCCGTTTGAGTTGGATTTTATTCACAATTTTCGCAATGGGGATACGACCAATCGAAGACTGTCTCTGAGGGCACATAAATGAGTATGTGATGCGTAGCGGTCGATGGATTCCAGCACCCAAGTTCCGGTTGCTGTGATTAGAGTGTCACCTGCTTGATCAACACCGTCGTACATTATTCGGGATAGATGTGAAGAAACACTGCCATTGGCGTTATCTGAAGGTATTGCGACTATTGGTACCTGTCACATCATGCGAACGACAAGCAGCGTGAAAATAAGATGTGGGAAAATAACCACTAGGTGAGCGAAGGAGGACAGTGTGTCCTATAAAATCATCTTGGCCTTGACTCCAGTTCTGTTAAGAACAAAGCAATGAGCTGTAGTGATCGACTGGTTTTTTTGTTAAACACTTTAGTATGATGAACAGCAGACGAGGTAAACCCCATAGTCACGAAGACCTATTGTCGTTTGATGGAAACCGGCAACCTAAGCCCCAGGAGTTGGAGTGGCGAACCACATAATGCCCCGATAGGTTAGGCGTCGTATTGAACCGGACGACAGCAAACCTGCCTACCATCAAAGTTTGGTGATGGTGGCGGGGCTCGAACCTCAGGCCATAGAGGCCAAAGCACGCCGGTGACAGCGATTAAACCGCTGCATCACCATCACCATAAGGTTTCTTTTTACCTTTTTATCTTTTTATTTGACTTCCTTTTATTGAATATGCAATGGTACAATTTTCAGGAAGGGGGAAGCGGCCGACCAAAGGGCTGCCATTCAACACACAAATGGGGAAAGTCAGGCGCTGGTGATAGGATTCGAACACACATACCACCGGGTCACCACCGCCCGTCATTAAAATACGACCTGGCTGTCCTGAGGTCGAATCCCGTCACTGCCACCCACCTTCCCCAAATCTGTAATTCCCCGACTTTGAATGATCGCGGTTCCCTTCCTGAAAGTTGATTTTACATTTGTATACTTAATAAATCAAAAAAGAAGTAAAAACATTCATTCAAAAAATAGATGGGCAGTGAGAAAGGGACATGCAAATAAAGATAACTAACCGGGTAAAATACCAGCAGAAAAGAAATCAAGGTGAAGAGGGGAATTTCGCGATCGCCAAATGTAAAGAAGTATCCTGAACACCTTGGTTCGACACGGTCTAATAAAGGGATTACGAAGTTATATAAAACTATTTAATTTCCCTTGACCGTGAGAATGAAACATATGCGTAAGTGGCCATTATGTATATTTGCTGAATTATTAATTCTATAGTAGTTTTCGCGCGGTCAAGCAGGCAAAGTGCCAGTCAAGCTAAGACCTGGCATGAGGGTATGAAAACGCTAACCAGGAGACTCCATTATATGGATTGTATTGGGTTCCCTGGCTGGGGACCTAGGGTTGATCGTAACCCGTGTTTTGAGATACTGAGTGATATGGTTGAGTGCCCAGCTAACCCGAGCGAGAAACCACATCTTGTTTGCAACCGTAATTCTCAGGTAGGCCCAGTGAACTTCAACTGTGCAGCAGGAGTACCATCAGAACACGGACAGACGACGTGACAACAAGAGCATTACAAAACGCATAAGCCG